CGCAAACTTCTTTAATTTCCAGTTTCAATCATGTTACCCATGATATGGAGAGGAGGAGAAAGAAGAACTTTACCTAACAGTGTTACCTACATTTACGGCTACAGTTCAGACTCGGCTTTCTTATCCCTAACACTGACACATTTATTTCCTAAAATATAAAATCTCAACGGCTTAAGAGCCCACTCCAATTTAGAGGGATCTATTCCTATTCTTGTCGATGTCACCACAGTAATGTCTTTCATTTGGTAATCCTTGTCTTCTTCAATCCAGAGTCTTTCTGAAGTAGAGATATCTTCCTTGTTGAGATTAGCTTTTTCAATGCAAAGCGCTTGACAAAGTTTTGAGGGTCCATTGTTGAGTTCATGATCTTTCAGCTTGCTACCACCGTCCCGTCGACGCACCCCTCTAAACGATTTCATGCAATTCATTCCTGGAATGCAATTTAAAAACATCTGGCTCAGCGAGAATGCTTGTTTGTCCAAGTTCCAACTTTTTATAAGCAAGTCTCAATCATTAGGAAGGCTTCTGAATATAGAATACAAAAAGCACGAACAAACCAGGATTCATTTTACACCAATGGAAACCACACATAATGGCCTTGTTTTGTTAACAGTAACGACTATTATTAGAGATTAAATGCACTAGGCTGTTAAAGGGTGTTATCATAGGTTATGCACTCTTAAAGTTCAATCTCACTGAAAAGATCAGACAGAATATCTAAAATTCTGCTTGGTTCATGAACAAAACATTGAAAACAATCGGTCATTACAGCTTGTTCCCCCTCAGCAATTTTTAATGCTTCATTTTTCCAAGCACATTTTTTGTATGAGTGTAGGTACTAAGTTTTAATTTTTGGTACTTTTTTCTTGACCAAAATGCAGTAAATCCCTGTGACAGTGCCCCTCTTAAGATCACAGAAGCACGACAGCTCACAAGTACTGTTGCTTCACTCTGGTTTCTGTACCATGACGTGACTAGAAGTAAAGTTACTCCCTCCTGGAAGGGATTCTAGACCACTTGCAGACTAACCCAGCATTTTGTTATGTTGTGCTAACAGCTGACACTCATATACACTCCTAGAGAACTGAGACACTGAGGGTAGACTTTTTCAAGGAATTTTTACATGGTTGTGGGTAGTTGGCAAGGATGACCTTGCACTCCTCTACCTTGTGCTCTTCATAGTTGAGTTTTGAGCATCACAGTCATGCGGGTATGTGCAAGTCTATTGTGAGAGTTGCCTAAAAGCACAAAACAGTTGTCCTAGCCAGGGCTCAAACCTGGACTGCTTTCAAGACTAACCCTTGGGTTTGGGGGGATCATGTGTACTAAAGGCATCTGTAGTTGAGTGTTGATCAGTACCCTCGATGGACCCTTGATCAATACTCTATCGACACCTCAGTGGACACTCGATCAACATTCCATCAACATCTTGGTCAAGAGCCGGTCAAGGGTTGACTAATTTTCGATCGATTCGTATGAGTTGGTCAACACTCGGCTGACTATTGAGCAATAATTGTTGATCAAGTGTTGATAGAGTGTCAAGTGTTGATCGAGATGTCGATCAAGGGTAGCTATCGAGAGTATTGCTCCACACTCAACCATGAATGCCTTTGGTACACAATGATCCGGTTAGGGAATAGCAGAGCAAATAGGAACACAAAGACAATAAGACATTCATGAGGACTTTCCTATAATCCAATTTGGGGTAAAAGTTGTATTTGGAGGCAAAGCAAACTACCTATGGACCGGTCCACGGACTCCCCCTACAGACCCCCTGTACAGACCACCCCCGAAAATATAATAATTTACTCAGCGGAATAACAGATACAAACAAGAATAAACGGCCTAAAAA